AAATTTCAATAAATTTATCAAATTTTTGTTATTCTTTCTTCATTACTGTTTGAACCCCTCTATAATAAAAATATTTTAAAAAATATCTACATAAATGTAGAAAATCTTAATTATTAAACTTAATTATTCTTTATTAGAAACTTTATTACTAATAAAAAAATTAACTCAATCATTAATAAATTCCTCGCAAAATATAAAAAAGTGAGTTATTTTGTGTTGTCCAGTATAAAATCAATTAAAACAATAGCTTTTCTCAACACATCGTATCACATATACTTGACTTGTGTGTTTACAGGCATATGACAATTAATAATTAACAGACCTCTTATGTAGTATTCAGTTGAGTAATAACTAATTCCTATGAAATTTTACGTTCCATTGATAATTTTTACCTTTTTAACAAATAAATGTTAATAGCTTCTCTCTTCCCTATTTGGCTGTATGTGTTTTAAAGTTTTAAACACAAGATAGCAAGTATTTTTAGAGTTTAGAATCTATAACATCACTTAATTTTAAACCAGTTTGTGTAAAATTTTACATGCCATTAATAATTTTTTTCAATTTTAATCATATAACAATATAGAATATATTTTGCTATTATAATCTGCATATAAAATGTGTTTTCATAAAGAATATAAGTTGAAGAACCCATTCAATTGATTTTTTGAAATATTTTTCTTTAATTATTTATTCTTTTTACCCTATATAAGTCTTTATAATATAATATATTATATGTGTATTTTCTGTATTTTCTATATTTATATTTATAATTTAAATTTTTAATTCAATTGAGGTGAAAATCTAAAGAAAACTAAATAAGTTTGTACTCAACGATATATTATTTGAATATATAGAAAACATCACCAACATATTTATTCTTTGTCAAGCTCCGATACAATCTTCTTCATTGGCATTTAGTAAAATGTAATTTTAATAAATCATATTAAATAAAATTGTTAATTATTTTTAATAAAATACCTTTAAAAAAACATTACTGATAGATATTTTAATATGTGATTTAATTGGAACATATATAATATGCAAAAGTTTTTAAAAATTTAATTTTGCGAATTTATAAACACTGCAGTGCAATTGTTCTTTTATGTATACATAATATTTAAGCATTTTTAATATAAAGAAATAATTTATAATTCTCATTTTGTTTGCTCATTTATTTTTAACAACTTTGTTAATTACAATTCTTAAACACTATGACTAATTTTTGTATTAAGAATCAGACTAAAAACCTTTCTCTTCAAGTTTCAATTATTTTAATATACGCATTGACTAAACATTAAACATCAAAGTTGATTTTTACTATATAAATTTAATATATAAATTTATAAATTTCTATATAAATATAATTATTTTCATTTATATAGCCTGCATTTACGATAAAAAAACAAAAGTAATAACTAAAACCTTAATATAAAGAAAATTGATCACAATCCTCTTATTGGTTTTTTTTTTGTATTATTTAAATTGTGTAAAGTTCGTTATAATTCTCAAAGACTACCCTTGTTTTTGGTATTAAGTATCAAAATTAAAACTTAGTTATTCCAATGATTTTAATATATGTATTGACTGAACCTTAAAAATCTGTGTTAATGAACTGAGAATGGTAAGAAAAAAAAATTAATAAATATTTTTGCTTTATTATTTATAAAGTTTGCATTTATAATGAAGAAAAATAACTCATGTATTGTTATAAAAAGTGTTAAAATTCTATTTTTATATAAAAGTTCTAGAAAACAAAAAAAAATATTCACGATAGATGTCTAGCTCTATTAATAATGTTTAAAATGTTGAACGACGAGAGAAACAAACAAATAATTCGAAAAGTTAAGACATAAATTAATATATCGTATATATATAGTGTGGTCTAAATGTAAGTGGACTTATCGTTGTGATATATCAAATTTATATATATAATTGTTGGGAAAAATAAAGATATAACACTTTTAAGGTATAACTACTATTTCATAATTCAACTTTATCATTTTTGAATGGACTTTCAATTATGGTTAAACATCTTAATTTTTTATCAAATTTTTTTATTATGTTACTTTTAAAAACTTCCGCTTTTAAAACGTTGCAAAATTGAAAGGTTTACTGTGCCGACCTACTCAGAATTACAGCATAACTAATTAATGGTTAATTTATCTAATTCATATTCATGTCATTTTAATTAACTATGAATTATTTGTATGAAACTTTATTCTAACGAATTACATTGTAAGATATTATGATGTGGGTATGTGGGTATGTTATTCAATAGTGTAGTTTCTATTAGAAGTATGCATATCTATAATATAGTACATAATCAGTAAATGTCGTACATTTTGTTCATTAGAGTTTATAGCTATGTAATAATATAACTACACAATGTGAAGCTTGTAAATAGTTCAGATATTAAGTGCCTTTAAAAATAATTAATGTTAACTTGCATTATATTAAGGAAAAAATATTACTTTATTATTTTTATATTGATTCATCAACGCTATATCCTCGCATATTAAAAAACTACAAGTTACAAACTTTAAGAGCTTCACTCTAAAGCCTTACATTATAATAGACATAGAGAGAATTATTTACAATTTTTACAAACAGACGTCGAATTTCTGAATAACATAATTGTTAGTCAGATTAAGTTGTATATAACTTAACTTTTATTAAGTTTTTTTATATTTTTTTATTAGATTGTAAGAATCGGTTAAGTTAATCTAGCTGAGTGTAAGGCACGCATAAGACCCATATTGCTCCCTACCGATACCAAATACATTTAAATCTGTGTATTTATATATTGTAATAGGCATTTTTTGGTAAGTTCTTGAAACTCTGTTACTAAGACAGAACCACTAGGTATTTTTTAAAGATTTCTTAATAGCATGTTTTTATTCCTGAACTTAATGAAATTTAAACCCAAACTCTGTGTACCGTAGGTTATGGGAATAATGTTCTCAGGAAAGTGGTTTTTAAGTATTATTTTAACTTTATTAAATAATATGTTAAATATTTGTAACGAAAAGAATAAACAGATTAATATTGATATAATTTTAGTTAATTCTACTAAGCTGTTATGTCAAAATTAAGCTAAAACGAAAATTTAATTAATAATAAAAACTAACAAAAATGTAATAACAATTTTTTTTGAATTTTCTAACACAAACACATGAATAAAATACACATTATATATATATATATATATTATAATAATAATATCATACAGATGTTCCAGTGTTTTTACGTGATTTCCTGCCATCAACATCACGGTGCTCTTAACACACGTATTAATTTAAGCGTCAATCAACGCCCCATTGGAATAGCCTGCTCTATTCCGCCGGTACCAATGAAGAAATTCATGCAAGTTATAACTTCCACCTTGGTAAGATGCGAGGCCTACCTACTGACCTCTGCTACAATTTGGGCTGCAGCACCCGGTTTGAAACGCACACCATGGCGAATGAATGACAAGCAAAACATTTTTCCCGCGTAAGTTTGGGTATTAACCACAACCACTTCGAAGCCAACACCAATGATCAGTACAGCCGAAGCTGTCGGGCCACTGACCCCCGAAGTACCAGATAGTATCATCTCTGGTCAGATGTCGCAAGTTGTCGCCCACAACTCACTACCATTTGCACTTCTTGCATAAGTGCCAGACTGGCACTGGGGGATATTAGTCGCCTCTTACGACAGGCCATCCTAACCGCGGGAGTGTTCTTTTTCCCTCTCCGCAGGGAAAATAATATCGTAAGTAGGTGCTCACAATTTTTAAGGTTCAGTTTGAAATCATTACTTTGACTTTAGTTCTCAGAACACTTGTTATTGAATTTTTTTTCGCCATGCTATATGCATACATAGCTATATAAATAAATGGAAAATATACCATCCATAAGAATACCATCTATTCAATTTTAAAAAATTTGTAACCACGAAGTTCAAACAGCACATTAATACATTCAAAAATTCTTATTACAATAATTATTTTATTATAATATCTCTATACTTTATGGGTTCAATAATAAATCAAGTCTAAACGTACACGATTGTTCAACTTGGTGAATATAAAACCCTCACTAAACTTTTCTCAAAACTCTCCATTAAATTCCTACAAAATTGGAAACATGGTCAAGAACTCTGTGACGTCTTATAACTTTCTCTTCACTTATAATTTCCATTTCTAAAGGATCAAAGGACCATTCCCAAAAGTGTTCTTCTCTTCTTTCTGTGACTGCAGTTTAATGCCATGAAGAAAAATCATATTTGTTATAAAAATATATCTATGACGTACTTTTTTGATCAAATAAATTCTTTTCAATTTTAAAAACTATAATGCTACCAATTGCGTATAAAACATGACGAACAAAATCAAATATTCTCTAAGATAAAACTTTTTAATTTATAACTTGTAAAATACAAAAATCTTAATTATACAAATGACGTCAATATCATGACGTAAACTAAGAGAATTAACCTCTCCTTGACAATTAGCGATTAAAAATTTTTATTTTATTTAAAGATAAAATCTACACTCATAAATGTTTGTTATCAGTTAATGCAAGTACATAGTATATATAGATTCCAATTCAATACTAAAATTTTAGCGAAGTTAGACAATAGTACTTAGAACTCAGTACTTAATAAGAAAAATGTTTATTTAAGCATGAAATGTGTTTCTCTATTAATAATTTCATCAAGAAATCAAAAATAAAAACCCCAATGCAGTTAAAATTGTATTCGTGATTGGCATTTAAAATGATTTATCACTGGACGAGTCAATCAAGTGACAATCGTTTAGAAACGCTTGCGTATCCAAGTTTTATACTGTGGGCGGCATTTCGTTGGCATTTTAATGACACGATATCATCTAAAACGTATCTTCATAGCCACGTACATGATTTTTTAAGTACAACTATTGCAACGTCGGTTGTTATACAATTGTTAATGGCACCAATTTAATTTATTTGTAATAAATAACAAATTTTATGTGTACTTACCGATTTGGGCGACATTTTGATTGATTTTTTTCTTGCTCTGCTTTAATTAAATCCAATTATGGGTCAACGGTGTAAAGTGAAAAAAAATCTGTAAAGAAAACAAAATAAATATAAATTTAATTAAAATTCAAACAAAATTAAAGGTTTTAATGTTATTTTAACATGATTAAAATGAGTCACCGTCCTCCACCAGTCTAAAATATTGATGCAAAGTTTACAGTAAAACACATTTTGTGTATAAAATGATTAATTTAAATATATTGTATATATAGGCACTTAAATTATATACAACAATAAATAATAAAGCTGAATAAACAATTTGTAATTTGTAATTGTTTATATAAAATATTTAAAAGTAAGACAAACATCATAAACAGGTTTCTGATGAATCAGTACTGCTGTTTTTAATTTTATTTGCTGAGATAATCGAATTGTTCAAAGTTGAGCTTTATGTGAAGTTTCGAAAAGAAAACGTTTTAATCAATAACAAAAATTCATAATTATAATAACATATATAATGAATTTAACAGTTTCAAATAAAACACTAACAATTGAATTAAAATACTACTACTACTATGGCCATCAACTATATTAATATTAAACCTAAACAGTTGATTATCACACAAACAACTTCTTTGCAAAAACTTATAATAGCTTAAGATTTGATATATTGTCGCAAAAAATATATAAATATGAAATAAATCCAGGACAGTTAACCGTTTTAAGTTGATGATTTTCTAATATCAGAAATAAATAGATATTCCTGGTACAATATTCTACTCATAATACAATATTCTCTGAGATTAAGCCTGGAGAGTCACCAGAAGTGTGTTTGTTTAATAGTCTCAATTGCTTTCCAGTCAACTATAACAACATGTCAACTTATAAAAGCATTTCACTTACACATCACATCAATAACAAAATACTTAAAGCAACTTATGATTATGATAATGATTCAATGTTTTTCGTAAAAGGTTCATCATTTAATATGCGTATTAAATGATCTATAGCACATGCAAAACGTTATCTGATAATTCTGCTATAATCATGGTACGAATGTGTTTTTGTCACTTTTTGAAATAAACATTCTAGTCACTAAAGAAATACAAAAACGCAAACTACTTCACGATATGTATATAATTTCTTTTATTTCATTACACAACAAACTCCAACTATAATGTTATAAATATTCTTGGATTTAGTTTGATTGGAATAAAAATGAACCGTAGCTTCATTTCTTAAAGGAATTAATTCTGACATTGAGAATATTTTAAATAATTTAATAATTATTTCATTGAATGTTCAATTTTTCATTATAATTAAATTATAGAAAAAAAATTACTAACATATGTAGACCAGAAATATTAGCACAAAAGATCAATCATGGTCGCAGTGCTCTGCTCAAATGGGAGCTAACACTCCGTTCTTTCTCTATTCTATTATAGACCAGAAATGTACTTCAACAGAATGGTCTTTCAGATAGTTACATCATTTTGGAAATAGATGATATTTTATACAATATTAACGGACCTATTCTGTGCACTTTATAAACTTGTCAAACATTGACACTTGTCAAAATTGACTACTGTAAAGGTTTTGGTATTCTGTGACATAAATAAAAAGCTCTTTTCCTGGTTAGTTGTCAATACTACAAATGCTGTTGACAACTTTAAAAATATGCTCTTTTTAAGCATTTTTTATTTTTTGCATGCATGACAAATATTCTTTACTAAAATATATGCTTTTTACAAGCATATTTTTTATTGTTATTTGAATACATGGAAAATACCTTTGGTAACTTAAAATATGTGCTCTTTACAAGCATTTTTTACGAACAGTTAAGAACAATTACGAACAGTTTTCTATACAAAACACTTTACACCATAGTGTGGTGAGAAGCACTAGGTACTTGAGGTTTGAAATTTGTCAAGATGTGTCCAGAATACCAAAAAGCTTTCTGCTCTATAAAACTCAAAAATTTTATTAAAGAATTTGACAAATCTGTCAAGTGCACAGAATAGGTCCGTAAGAATAATAATAATAATAGATATGCATAAATCCATTTCTAAAATTCCTTAATATTGGGTTATCGATGGTTTTTTTCAGGTTTGTTTTTTGCTCCAGTCCACCTTGACTAAGTGAGGGGGATTGTAATTAAAAAAATTACAACATATACAAAAATCCATTTATTCCTAACTGCCAAGCCAGCATAAACAATCACCAAACGATAATACTCGCCAAAGAATGATAACTTACTATCTATTATTATATGGATAAAATTAATGCTAAAACATAGAATATAAAATCATACTTCGACATCAATTAGATTTTGACTGGGACTAGAATATCTCCCATCACTGACACTATGCTAATATTTGTTCACAGCACCACTCGTTAGCTTAATCACATCTTATAATTCCATATTCAATGAATCAAGTTACTCATCTTGTTAACAATTGTTCGTCGCAAACCATGTATATATGTAAGTATGTATATAAATATATATTTATTTAATTATTCATTTATTCATTTATATACATATATTAAAGTAAGTACTCAAACAAGTAATGAGAGTTCAAATTTGCATATGTATGTACCCATATCCATTATAATATCTAAGCTCTTTTGTACATCGCAGTTTTGCTCTTTGAGCCAATCTTCATCTGAAGTGCAATAATTAAAAAACAAATAAATAAAAGAATTCATTATGAAGTAGATAATAAAAACTCTGGAACTATTTTTGTTTAGGCGGCATGGCACTGGCATTATATGCAGGCGTATATGATGATTAATTTAAACAAATTGTAGTTAAGTCAAGAAAAGAGCAAATATTTAATAAAAGAATTATTGTAGATATAAATAGTATTTTGTAAAAAAATTAAAAAAAAAAATTGTTAACATATTTTTACTAAGAAAAAATGTTGTTTAGGCTCATTTTATCTTTTTTTTTATTTTTATTTTGTGAGGAAGTAAAATGCAAAAAAAAATTATACTGTCAATGTCAGCTCTTAATAGTGAAAATGAGAGCTCAGTTTGAGGTATTGGCCAAAAGTCAATGAATTCATTAAAATTAATATTAACTAAAAAGAAAAAAAATTTAGTTAATAGTGCAAAAACATAATAACAAAATTAAATGAATACAAAAAAAGTTAATGACTTTCATATGACAAAAAAATAAATAAATACACAAAAAAAAAAAAATTAACAAAAGCACATAAAACTTGTATGTGAGATTAAAACCAGTGGCGGAAAATCTACAAATTTTGTACGAACAAATGTATTTCATCGCTACAAGCAAACAAACTTTAAAAAGAGAAAAATTAAAATTGTAAAATAAAATAAAATAAAATAAAATTAAATGGTTTTAGCCTTTCTGTGACTTTTGTTTTGTTGTTGTGCTGATTTTTTTGTTTTTTTTTTTCTGTAGTTGCGTTTGTTATTATTGTATAATATATATTTAGAAATAATTTACAAAGTCAAAAGGAAGGCAAAAAAAAAAAAAAATCAAAAATATCTTTTATATTTCTACTGCCCACCGTAAATAAATTTTGCCTTGAACTTGATTTTTATAAATGAGGGCTGCTGCTACGTCGCTGCATTTTATTTTTGTTTAGAGTTTGGCATCATATTTTTTTAAGAAATTCGTACATAAATAAAATTTAACATAAATGCAATCCATATACAACTGTATAACAATAAAGACTGAAGACAATAATAAAAGATAAAATATACAATATGAAAAGGAAAAAAATTTTTAAAATTAAAAAAAAAAGCTTAACAAAAGATTGAGTTAAAAATGGTGTGAAATTTTTGTATCTGTTGGTTGGCATTCGTGCCTGAGGCTATTTAGTCAATTACATTTGAATTTTTTATTTTGCCTTCAATAAAGACATGGATTCTTTGGTATGTATAGCAGCATTATTAGCATCAAAAGCTATACAATTAATAGCAATAAATAAATAAACAAAAAAAAAATTCAACAAAATCCACAGTTATTTTTTGAGTATGTATTAAAAAATCATGAACTAATTTAAAAAGAAAAAGAATTTCAGAAATTTTTTGGGAACGAAATTATAGAGAAGAAAATAACCAGTTCCAATATTTTTAAAAACAAAACAGTTAAAATATTTCAAGAACTTTTGTTTAACAATAAATATTTATTAGGCTTATTACTGTTGTTCTATAATTAAACCAGAATGGTAAGTAGATAGGTGAATACATGTGGTCATCGGATTCCATTATATATGGAAATCAAAACACAGGCTAAATAGACATATTCTGATAGAGCATGATATCTTAGGAAACCAAATCAAAGTTATCGATTCTCTCTGAATTAATTTATCGATATTTTAAGATCTAACAAATTTATTCACAGAAATACGGGCAACTTGTGAGATCTCTTTCAGCGGATAGTGCTATTCATATTATTTGAATATTTTAAAAACCGAAGTTCAACGAATATTCGATTAATCGGATTTCAATGATTACACATGTTTGGTACTTTAGTGTTTGTTTTCGTTCACTGATATGTTGTAATAGTCATTGGATGTTATACCCTTTTTTGAGAAGTAGTGCTATTCATATTATTTGAATATTTTAAAAACCGAAGTTCTACGAATATTCGATTAATCGGATTTCAATGATTACACATGTTTGGTACTTTAGTGTTTGTTTTCGTTCACTGATATGTTGTAATAGTCATTGGACTAGCCTTTTTTGAGAAGTAGCATGTATAAAGTGTATAAGAGAGTATCGGTGAAGGATTGAAATATGATCTTTTCGCTTGAGGAGTCTCATACTAAAATATTAAAATATATAAATTCTTAAATCAAATAAATAATTTATTTAATTACTTTGAGTTCACTTTTTATGGATGTGTTTATGATTTGAAGGCTCTTTGGAATTTTTTAAATAAAGAAATATTCTTTAGTTCTAATTATTAATTCATTTTCTGTAATTAAACAGTAAACTGATAATTAGTTGGAATTTAATTTAATAATCATTTTTATATAAAAAGCAATTTTGATTGGAGAACTCAATAGCAGTCTGTATAGAAAGTTTCAATGTGTTAGATCAAAAATATATGGA